GATGACACATTTCAGTCCAAGGCTGCCGGCCAATTTGGAGCACATACCTGGATTCCGATCATGCTCTAGTGCGCGCATGCTTGGCGAGCACCCATCCCGCTTCAAAGAAGCGCCTATCCTCTATTCTTCTTACTTGTAACTTGAACTCGCAGTCTGAGGGTCAACAATATCATAACGAACTGGTCCACCAATTGTCAATAGTGGGTGAGATTGTTGAGCCGAATGCTGACTGGGGTCGTTTCAAGTTTATCATGAAGAAAGCCTTTGACGTTTCCTGTGCACCCGACCTGAGACGTCGTAACAATGACTGGATCTCGGAGGTATTGGTTAGCTAGATTGAAGCACAGAAACAGATTCCGATGGGCACGGAGTTTCAGCATGTCCATAATTCCATGAAACGACATCAGACAAACAGTCTTCGTATCGACCGGGAAGGTTGGTGGGTCACATGGGCGCGTGAGATAGCGATAGCTAGTTCTGTGGAAATATCCGGAATACGCGTCCGGGAAAGCCATCAGTTAGGGAGACAATAGTTGAGAAATGTAGAATTTTAATCCATTCACAGCGTCGTCGACTAGCCTGTTGAGCGGAACCTTTTAAAGAGCAGTTCAGCAGGCACGCTGCGACACTGCAGCTTGCCGAATCCCCTGAGTAGATGTGTGAAGCTGATGTAAAACCTGCTACTCTGGAAAACATTCAACGTGAGCCCGCCGTGTTGAAACGGGACAAGGCTACTGGGCCTGACAGCTTTCCTCCATGTTTGTCGTAATATGGAGCTGATTCTTTATTGACTAGACTTTCTGCTCTATTTTACACTAGTTGAGACACTAAAAAGGTACCTTCGGGCTGTCGGCTGTCAACCGTTGCACTTCTCTTCAAGGAGGGTCAGCGTATGAATATATTTGGGTGTTGCTCTTCCAAACCCTGGCACACCAGGGTTGGGAAGAGCAACACCCAAATATATCCATTCACGATACGGTCATCGAGATCGGAATGACTGAGGTTTACCTCAAAGTGAGCCGAGGTCTCAATAGAGGCTGCGAGTCGCAATCCAACCACACAGTGTGCTCCCTAAATTCAACTTGAGGGTCAGCGTACTTTTTGCGTTAACCTTATCTCCATTGCTTCCAAATCTTCCGCAGGTATCATTCTTCCACGACGTGCTTGACTAAGTGAAAGCCGAACACCTGCAAGCCAGGCTCACTTCCGCCCTGAGCGTGGTTACATCGGCCACATATTTACTCTTCGCCAAGTTTTAAAGTAGAGACACACATACAGACGACTGAATATGATGGTTTACCTCGAGTTAAAAGCAGCCTTCGACTCGGTTGACCTAGCCAGCTTGTAAGACCGTTTATCCATTTTTACTTATTTATTTCTGCTAGACTACATGGTACAGCGCGTATGGTTTGAAGATGAAGTGTCGGCTGACTTAAAGAATGCCCTTGTGCTGCCACTGTACAAGGACCAAGTGAGAAAGCAAAGTGTCATGAATTATCGCGGTACTAACTTGCAGTGTAGTGTGGGTAATTTAATTGCACGAATCCTGCTCAACTGTCACGTCACCCTGGTCGCTGAATCGAAAATGACGGAAGAGCAGTGCGCATTCTGTTCGGGTCGCAGCACCATCGATATGGTGATCGCGGCTTGTCAGGTGCAGGAGAAATGCCGAGAGAGACACTAGCCATTTTACTCGTTGATTGTTGATTTCACCAAGGCATTTGATATAGTGAATTGCTAGAAACTAGGGCTGGTGTTGGGCAAGTTTGGTTGTCCGAGTAACTTCGTAAGTTTAGTTGAATATCTGCTTAGTGGTATGCGGGCGAGTGTGAAGCTGAGTGGACAAACCTCTGGTGACTTTGAGATTGTCGCTGCTGCGAACTGAGGATGTGTCTTAGTCCCTGCTCTGTTTAATATTTATCACTATGCAATGAGGTATTGTGCTATTGATGCTGCTTGTGATTACAGTGTCTGTGTGAAGCCCCGTATTTATGGTGGGTTGCTGGACATAGGTCATTTCGGCGCGAGAACGGTAGTGTGTGAGACTGCAATTCGTATGTTGCTGTTTGCCCAAGACTGTGTGTTGTTTGCGCACAGCGCGAATGAATTGCAGCGCGTGACTACGGCTTTTGCTTCGACAGCGGCAAAATTCGGAAGCACCATCAATACAATCAAGATGGCTTATTTTTCAGCCTACACCAGAAATGGGATCGGGATGCTTGCCGCGAATCCATATCGGTGATGACGTCTTGGGAACCACCTTGGGATGTTGCTACCTGGGTAGGGTACTTTCAACCGATCTGCAGATGATGGTCGAGCAAGGGGTCCGCTTATCCAAAGCGGCTACTTCATTTGGAATGTTGAAAAAGCATGTGTGGAACAATCACTACCATACCGTTTGAACGAAGTTGATCGTACAAGGTCTATGGGGCAGTCCATTCTTCCTTACCGGAGCGAAAGCTGGACGACGTACTGGAAGTATGTTAGATATATAGAGCGGCTTCCTCCATAGAGTCTGCGACCGATTCTACGCATCGGCTGGTGCAACAATGCTGTAGACATGGAAGTGCTGCGCTGCAGTGGCATGTGTGCAGCGCACTGCATACTTTTGCTGCAACACCTGTGGTGGCTGGGGTATGGCGGTCGCATGGAATCTACTCGGAACGCCAAGCAGCTCTTATACGACCAATAAAGTGCAAGGAAGCGGCAAGCGGGTAAGTCGAAAGTACATTGTCAGGACATGATCAAGGAGAATTTATCATGAACTAATGGGAATATCAGACCCTGTGAGTCAAAGGCAGTTGGTCGTTGCGGAAGACGTGAGCTGATCAAGAGGGCGGTTTCCCAGGTGTAGCAGGAAGCACCGTTACATGTGAGCAGATATACCGTGTACGTAAGCGAAGTGTGCTGATGGAGTTTGCTCCATCAACCTCAAACGTATGGTGCTATAGCCCATGCGGTTGTGAGTGTCAGAGCAAAGCAGGCCTCGTAAGTCACTAACGTGGCTACATGGGGCCAACAACCAAAAGAGGACATGTCAGCTGATCATTTAAACCTGATCAGCACAGCGATTGGTAGGTGCGCTGCGTCCACATCCATTCGATTTGCTAACCCAGGTCAATGAGGTGGTTGATGTAGTACATGTGCCTCAACATCGTTGCAGTTGGTTTGTACGTGTGCCTGTGTGTTGAGTTTCCTCTCTTTCAGGGCTTGGTTGCTGATTGATATGCCCGGTGTGGCTGCGCTTGATGTGCATGTTGGCAGGGCGCCTACCTGTCTTACCCACTACCTCGTCCATACTGGCTCCAGGAGACAGTTGATCGTTGCTGGAGGGGACGGTATGCACGGTCCTTGTGGCCGTGCTCGGCTCAAATAGTGGTTCCATACACTCAGTGTGGAGTGGACTACGGTCCAGCCTCAACCTTGTGCTGTGCTTGTGTTTGCCTGTGAAGGAGTGTGGACCGGCTCCGTTGATGAAACGTGGCTACCATCCATATGCATACCGGTTCTATTCCTTCGGGTTTACACTGGATATGGGGTGTGTGGATGGAGCTGTGGGTGGTGCAGCGTAAGCCATCCATAGTCCCTCTGTAGGCGTGCAGTTTCTGTGGCTCTCCTATGGAGGCCATAGTGACAGGTGAACCCGGAACCGGATGCCGCCGAACATTTCATGTACTGTACAGTAGGTTGCTGTTTAGCTGCAGCTTATTGATTAAACACTATTGATGAGTAAGTTTGTTCTCACGGAAAGGTGGGATATAATGGTTGCGATAGATCTATATATTCCCCCCAGAGTTAGCCTTGTGTGCAAGCCAGATTGCATCCCTCATTGTCATGCATTTCCGAGTCCTCTTTCTGAAAAATGACAACAGATTTGCTGAACGAATTAATTTAATTTCCGACGCTTTTTGACCAGGTTGTTAAACTTGTCCTGGCACTGCCTTTGTTGCCAGTTCGGTGCTATACTCTGACGCAGTTCATTGCCAATTCCACCATGCCAAAGCGAAAAACTTTTGATAACACGTGGTTGCATACTGTTTGGTTGTATCTTAAAGTCAAAATTAAGGATATGGCAAAACCTTATCAGAAATTCTGCTTCTGCCCTCTGCGGTTGCGTCATTTCTAGCTGTGCACAAGCTTCCCTTCATTGGAGCTTAGCGACACCCTTAAAAATCTAGAGTAATAATATTATCAATCTTGGGCATCGGCTGCTCATTTTGTGATCTGAGTGTGCACAGCCTCTGAACATGGATCACAAACTATGTCTTAACTGGACATCGGTCGTGCAGCTCACTGCACCGCATTAATGACCTTCCTTTATTTTCGGAGTTTAGCTAGGCGAATCCTTTACACCAGCATGTATAGATCTGATGCGATACTGTTTGTAGTAAGTTAGCTTCGTAGGAAGCAAGCTGGGTCGATACTGGGCGCGGGTACACAGGTTACACAATAAATTTCCTACTTTACACTTTTAAAATCCCACGCGACACATCGCTTGTTTTTCCTCCCCCTACCAAAGTTCCGCAGTATCTTCCAGAATGTGTCTGCTTACATGTTGTTAATTTCGAATACCTGACAAGTCATCTGGCCACATAACGTAAAATATCATTTTCATGTATTAAGCTCCACTGTTTCAGAAACCAGGTATGTTTTTCTAATTTTGCTTAAGCGCGTGCCACATATAGCTCAGAATTACTGTGTTGCACTTCTTGTGTGCTTGTGCTTTGCTACAAATATATCTACTTTTCCATTGGATTTTTGCAAATTGGGTGTTACCAGTGGAAATCAAAGATCCTTGCGCTGCCACAAGGGATTGGTTACATAAAGTACACTAACATTACCCGACCAATCATTTTCTGGGCCATGTCCTTGAGAGCCGGATGTAAATCCCTTAAAAACGGATCATGTTTCCACACAAAACAAAGAAAAGAAGATGGCACAACTTTCCACCATTTTTCGCTTGTGCTGTCTGATCGCAAGTGCAATTTCCACAAGTCAAGCAAGAACTTTGATCAAAGTGAGAAAAGTTGCTACCAAAGGTAATAATTGTGGTCACGTGCCAGGGACCGAATTTGCATCCATCTGAAAAATATGAATTATCAATCGGAGGATCCATCCTAAAACCGGGTCAGATTAGACGAGAGCAGGAGATAAAAAGGTACGTACTTGCATCGTTTCTTTCTAAAAGTAAAACATACAGGTCTCTAATTCAATACCTATTCAAGCGCATCGACCAAAATAATGATAAACAAATCTCTCTTACCGACTTAAAGAATTGGTTGCAGCATGTCATGATAATGAGTTCTCGAAAGATGGCTTTGTGGGGCTGGTCGAAAATCCCGAGGAAAAACCGAAACTTGCTTACATGGAATGAATTTCTCGACTCCGCATATGGTTCGGATGAAGGTGAGTGTGTAAAGCCAAGTTTCACATATAGTTGGTTGAAACAACTCGGTCTATCTATCCACGTTTATCTGCGGGTTCGACGAGTGTTATTGTGTACCGTTGATTAGTTATGCGTCAACACGGGGCTCTCTCGCTTAGTTCATCCACTTTGGCTTGGAATTGGTGGGTCTTCACTAAAGGAACGCTGGTTTAGCACAGCGGAATTTTGCCGGGTCTGCTTAACTAGATGTGTACACGCTGGGTTCAGTTCACACAATTCCATTGTAATCTATACCTCAAAGTTGAATGAATTCATTTACCCTGACTCAGGCCAGCATAAACAGTAAGAATGGCAGGGTTAGACATATAAGAGAGGTGAAGGAAACGCGTATTCAAAGCAGAAGTGAGAAAACGATGTAGAACCACCGCCAACTCCATATTTTCGCCAAATCCGATAATGCATCTAAACGCCAAGTGGCCTATCTAGAGTATTCAATTTGGGAAAACTGCTTGTGTTTGCCCATTCGACAATACGGTTAGTTTCTTTACACTAATCTTCCGTCTGACTAACCTACAACCTAGAGGTTTCGAACAAGCAAGCCTACTGCTGAGAAACAGTACACACCACGAGCGCACAACTGTGCTAGCGAGGACCGTCCGCTTGCAGAAAGTCCCCAATGAACTGACGGAGATTTTTCGTCCAAACATCAGTATTATTCGCTTAGACCCCCGTCGCATAGGAACAGCAGTGCGAAGACACAGACGTTCAAACATGCTCAGTCTCATAATATTCCCGGGCGCGCGTTGCTCATGACCTACATCCATACGGTCGTATCAGTCGCACCGCGGCTTGCTGAACCCTTCCGTTAACCGAATGCCCGCAACTTGCCCATTAGTTGGGCCACCAGTACGTACGTTAGTCTGTAAATCACTGTCTTGCGGCGTTGACTTTCTACTTGCAGACACAAGCTTTTGGAGCAATGAGGATATGATGACACCGTCACACTTAAAAATTTCATTCACGCAGTCTGATACATCCTTGCTATATTAATCGCCGAAAGTGTACATAACAATTGGTCACTAATGGGTGCTTTCAGTCGGTTGATATCAACGAGGGCTTAACAACAGGCTTTACCAATCCAAGCTTGTTACTTAAAAATCGGAATAAAGCGATGTACTACATATAAACGGGAGCTATGAAGCTTGGGCTGGAGCAGTCAATCCCCTGAAATATCTGCATGTCCAAATTATTAGCTTAGATACTATTTCTAAAGCGATCCTTTCCCGCAGTTTTGTTAGGATGAAATGACACTAAATTGGATAACAGAGAGCGAATTCAGACCTCTACAGAGTGTTAACAAATTACAAAATACTATCAGAGTTGCATGATATAGGTAAAAATGTATCACATCTAGACTCAGTCAGCCAGCACATGCCAGTAAAAATACTGTACAGAATACCCACAATGTTCTTGGATTATAACACCTAGATGGTATTTAGACCTCGTATTTTTAAGTGTACCTTCATTATTTTGATCCCTCAGACTGCAATGGCAGTGGAGTTCTCGGTGTTGCTTGTTCCCAACACTGGAATGGACCATTGGTCTCGACATTCCTCAGGCTAATCATCCAGAAACAGTTAAAGCTGGGGGTTTAACCCTTAACGTGCTGCTTGAAATCTTACACCCTAATCACTGGTTTACTTGGATCCTCTATCAACGCTTACATTTACAATCCGCCTTAATTCATTAATGTGGCCGTGTCTAAGAGCGTGTCATTGGCTTGGATTTAAAGATATACTGAGTATTATCTCGTGAACTCAACCACAGCGATGTACTTCCGTAGACAAGTGTTAACAAGATAAAACGGATCCCCAATCATTAATTTCCTGTATTTGTCCCCCGTAATCCAGCTGAATTCAGAACACTGCCACCATACTGATGCTGACAATCGATAGAATCCCCATGTCACAGCCGCCGTGTATTCCAGAGAGGTCGACCAGGTAATAGCGGCAATCAGGCTAATTGGAAAATATGGCTGTGTACCTGATTTGTAGCCACTCAACCTGATTCGATAAAAGGAATGTTGATGAGCAGAAATATAGACCCGCTGATAACTTTAGACATGTCTGATGGCGTCATGGAAGAAACAAATGTTTAGTGTGATAGGCTTGGTCGAACACTTGCTGCATACACTTACCAAGCACTCGTCTGAATGAAAATGCACAAATTTGTTCGTCAGGAGAGAATTTAAATAGCGTGGTCAGAAATGAGGCCGAAGCTTCGCGGCGGGTGGTTCTCGGTAAGATGGAACGGACATCCAGCGAACTTTCCAACACGTGATGGTCTTCAAACTGAGCTTAGGTGTTATGAACTTTAATGTCAAAGGACCGCCCCAATCTGGGAATTTTTGACAGTCGATCGGCCGATATACGTATTATTTATCTAGTTGACTTACACAAAAATCAAATTTCACGAGAACATTATACTACCGACAAACTAAGCTTTGCTCAGTGATTTTGCGGATCCCTGATCTGTTATGCTAATGTGTTTCTGTTTGGCATTAGTACAGACGCTCAACTCACATAACAAACCACTGTCTCGCCTTCTTCCTTAAAGGAGTTCCAAGTTGATTACTGTCAATCTACGTACGTGATACGCGTAGAAAATACATAATGAACTACTGTGTGTTGCCTATTCGGTTCACGTGGCAATACGACCACTGGCGAAGTGCTATACTGATGCTGACATGCGGATTAGCCCCACATACTCTTATGTTGGCCCTCAATACTGCTGATTATTTTTATTTTATTCGAATGCTTATCAGTATCCAACTAACACACTTACAAAATGTCAGTCCTGAGATTGAGATCGCATTGTCACCGGGGCCTTCTTACTTTCGGATTCAACTAAAATAATTCGTAAGCACGCAGCGTCAGCGCAACATCTGTCATATTGGTAGGTTGAACATTTATATTTTAAACAAGCACTCCACCTCATTTTGCCCAATTTTACTGTTACTCGGCTCCAAGCTTATATATATCTACATTCATTCACGTATATAAACCCGACATAATTATAGTGAGCCATTATGCATATCACACGGGAGTAGTAGTGGAGCTGAATGGCAAAGGTAGAAATTCCGCACACATAGAGTCAGTCGGATAGTCACCAGATGCCGGGAAAAGCACTTTACGACTGATTCATCCTTTCGGGTATCATCCGCAGTGCGCATTCCATCTGACCCCTGTGAGGCTTAAACCAGCAAACTCCACTGTTGCCAGTGAATAATGAGCGGTGCCATCTAAAATCTATTAACTGCCTCAACGGTCGTCGTCGTCTTTCCCCCGTAGCTCAGTGGTCCCAATCACAGACGGGCAGCAGTCAAATTGCAGGTTCGAACTCTACCAGAGTCCGATGGAACGTACACTGCCGACGATTCCCGAGCGGATGAAGCGGCCGTACCGTGATTTGGCGGGCGTCTGATAATTATCTGACTGCGTCCATATGTGCATAAGTTCTATCTATACTACTTATCAATGTTTTAAAAAATATATGGAACGTGTTTCGTCTCAGCGTTTTTGCTTTTAGCATTTTTCACTTATAGCTCACATTGGGCTATGGGGGCTCCGGGACAAGCTGTAAAGCCCAGTATCGGACCGCGAATCTATGGGGTTGAAAATATATCTATAAAATCACTGTCAGAGAATGTGTATTTGTAGTCCAGTCATTATGGCTCAGGGCGGGAGAGCCTATGGTGCTCTGACGCTGGTGGTGGCTAGATCCTGACAGATGGTTTACCCACTGCTGTTACTGTTGTGCCATTGGCTCATTTACTGAGCGCCTCATCGCGGCGAGCGCTGGGTGCGAGTTGGGTTTCGCCATTCTCCCTGCTAAGATCCAAGACATCAATCCGCATGAGTCAGTGAACTGACCATGTGCTAGACCCGCTGCCTTTCGGGTGTTCATTTAATCGAAGGCTTTGGCTGAGGACCCGAGTCGTTCTCCTGTTTTCAATTTTGTCTTAATGCTTTTCTTTCTCATTTAAATGTCTACCTGTACTCTCTTCTAGAAACTTGCACACCTCGCTTAAGCCAATTTTAGTCAGTTTCGATAACATTTTCGTGTTTGTGGCATTACCGTAAAATATACTTTCTGACCTCGTGAACTTATCTCGGATCCTTTGTTAACAACTTATTTCATTTGCTCATTAATTTAAGATTTATGTCACCGTTTCCTTATGCAGTACTCGAGTTATATTTTCTGTTATCTTTCGCTCAAGTGATTGCCTGTTGCTTGATATCCCCGGTGTGGCTGCGCTTGATGTGCATGTTGACAAGGTGCCTACCTGTCTAGTACGCACTACGTCGTCCATACTGGCTTCAGTAGACAGTTGGACGTTGCTGGAGGGGACGGGGTGCACGGTCCTTGTGGTCGTGCTAGGCTCGAAGAGTGGTTCCATACACTCAGTGTGATGCGGATTACGGTCTAGCCATCGCCTTGTGTGGGATTGAGTCCCAACTACAGCGTGCTTGTGAAGGAGTGTGGGCCGGCTCCGTTAATGAAACGTGTCTCCCATCCGCATGCCTCCCGTCTTATTCCTTCGGGTTTACACTGGATATGGGGTATGTGGATGGAGCTGTGGGTGGTGCAGCGCAACCCACCCATGGTCTCTTGGCGCAGGCGTCCTGTGGCTGGTCACCGTGACAGGCAAATCCGAGACCGGATGCCGCCAACAACATTAGGGTTCAGGCGGTGAAATTCCCTTATTTTGGGATACCGAGCGGACTGCCGCCCTTAAAATGTTCGACCAAAGGAAGGATCGGATAACGCGGCCACGTACCTGGAAAGGGGGAAAGCCGCAATGACTTCACTTGAGACGTAGCCTATGTAAGAAGAAAAATCCCGGTCTATTCTTGAGTAACTCATGTTATTAATTTGAAACCTTTGCCGCGAATAATAGATTGCCCCAGTTGACAAAATCAGACCTTATCATACAATATTCATATGTTGTATACTATCTTTGTATGTATGCCATTTAAAACGAAGTGAAGTTCATCAAATTACTGTTTGTGAGTTATCAACACATGTATGGTGCAGTTCGCAGGAAATTCCGTTCACATCTCACCTGTTCTGACAAGAATCATGTTTTCCATTACGGTTTGCAGCCTTGGCTTTGTTAAGCAATAGTCGTGTATGTCTAAGGTGTGACTTTCTGTCATTAGCCTCAGAATTGGTTAGTCCCAGAGCCCTAACGGACATACCACCATTCCGCTTTAAGCTTCTTACTACTTATCTTCCTTAAGTAAGGCTGTTCAAGTTTCGCACAGCTTTTTCCGTCCCCGGCTATTGCTTCGAAGTTCAGCCGCTTCATAGCGTAAAGTTTTCACACGTCATGCTCTGCCGAGCAGTTAATTAGCCCAATGCGCATCTGAGGATGCTCTAAGCACTGCGCTCCGGTGGTGGATGTAGATGATTCACTGCAAGAAGGCTCCGACCACTAATACCCCCACTGACACATAATATTTCGATATCCTCCTGCACTGCAGTCGAGAAAGCAATTAGTTCATCCGTTTCATTTCTTTTAGGTGGCAAATGCATCCAAAGGGTTTATGGTTTCTCACTTTCAGTTTCCAAACCGACTTTTTAATCATATGCTGTTAGATTTGGATACATGGTGATAATTTGGCTGTTGTATCAGAAGGCCGAATAACACTTCTTCCTGGTCCAATGCATTTGGCAGAATTCTTCGCGTTCGTATTTTCTGCCTCACTGACATAAACTCAAACTTGGCATGGTCTAACCTAATAGTCTAGGTTGTTCTCAATCATCTCTTATGTTTCGTTAATCTGCCTACAACCTGTCATTTGCAATCTTTGATCTGAGTTGATATTAAAAGTAGATATGCAAAATTTGTACTACGGAGCAAGCAAAATGTTCAACTCTCCACGGTCACTTTGGTGGCCGTTGTTCTAACATATTTGCCTGCGTTATGTGACAAGTCGTGATAGTTGCTGTCCCAGCGCATGCCACCTTGTAGGAATGCGAAGCTTAAAATGCACCAGTCTTAAACACAGGGTTATACATTTCGTCTCTGTACTAAGGTTACATTTGGAAACAAGAGGTTAATAGAAATTGTGTATCCAGTCGCTTAAGTGGTTGATTCATGTTTTCCAAGTGCAGTTTACTTCCAAGTGCTTTCGACGGCTGATGTCTGATGAGAGACAGGATTATCTGCCCTCACAATCATGTTATCATTGAAATCCTAGTAATAACAATCCAACGAATCATGTGCGCTGCGATTTTACCTCCATCTGAGTTCGTAACTCTGGTATGTCCAACAGCTAAAGCGGAAACTCTTATAAGGTTTCACTGGTGAACATCCAATTTAGACCAACAAAGTTTTCCACAGCATTGGTCAACTGAAAACCATAGACTGTGTTAAGACTAATGTTTACAAGCCATTCCAATCTATACGGTCATTTGAAACCAATGACAAACAATCCAGTTAACCCCCTTTTCTGCTGTAGTACAACGACAAAACTCACAACTATCTGCCGACCTTCGTCTACAAATGAGAATGGATAAACGCCGTTGGAATGCGGCCGATCTGAATGGAGACAAGAAACTGACGTTTGCTGAGTACACCAGCTTTTTGCATCCACAATTGGAGAACCATATGCGAGATTCTCTAGTTTCAGTAAGTGAACGTTTTCCTACATAAATTATGCATAGTCTTTTGAAATGTAGACACTTAAGTGGAACATTATCGGAAGGGAGCTACCGAAAATGTTTGTTGAAACGCTCATTTGAATAATAGTGCAATAATACATAAGAAGAAAAGTTTGTGTCCGGGTGGTTCAATAGTGTGGTCAAGATGCGAGTGATCGTTTAGCCTACTTGCCAAAAACAGTACTGCGTAGCTGCGCACAGAAAATGTTGTTTATCGGATCACATATTTTAACACATGAAGTCATACTTTACGGAGTTGTTTAGCAAACGCTCTGTTTCCGCGCCGCATCGTCAACTGACCACGAACCATAACGTGCAACGTAGATGGGCTGGTGTATCACCTCAGGCCTTTGTCTGAACGCTGATAATGGAGAAGTGCATTGTGTATCTGCCATAATTGAAGGGATCGAAAACTTGTGCCATTCCAACCGGCCATATTGCGCAGTTTTCCACCTCAGCCTTGCGGTTAAGCTTCAAACGATGGTCGCAAACTTGGCTGATGCGGTTGCGGATGTGGCACACAAATTATCAGACGCCCATAGTGCCCACTACATAACTCATCAGTCTAAATCAGCTCGGAAATGGAACAACCATTCAGTCTTCTAGTACGTTATGCACCGTGAAGTTTCTGGTACATTTGGCTAGCATTCCTAGCATGGCTACCAAGTTTTGATGGCCTGTTTCACATTTGGTCCCAAGTAAGCAGTTGACATTTTTGAAACATGGAAATATTCCCAGAAGTAAGTGTGCTGCAACTTAGCTTGCGTCCCTTCAGTTTGCTTAGAAAATGCAAGATCTTGTTTCAGAAGCATTTGAAAATCACTTTCATGGGACGAATGCCGCAAACCATGCTCCCTCACCCGGAATGCACGAGTGTCGTAATGTTGTATGCTCAACGCTGATCCAGGCTGCGTTATACTGAAACACACTATGGGTGGACAAAATGTAAGTCCAATCGGAGACAGCTTGCAGGGCCACGTGATGGATTTCCCCCTTGAAAACTTGCTACACCCTGTGATCGGCACTTAAAAGGGGGCAATTTAACGTGAAAACCTCCGTAAGATCATTTATGAAATATTGGGATAAGAGTACTTCCGGTACCGAGCTTTGTGACGTGTCAAAGAACAATACTAATCCTAACCTTCAGTTGAATTGGAGGGGAAAAGTTGCACATCAAACTAAAAGCAGAATTGTCAACTCCATAGCTCCCAAAATTGTGAAGGAGAATCCCATGCTCCAGATGGGTAAATTTCTTGAGAGGTCTGCGTAAGTTTTGTCAAGTGTCATGCTGCTTTGACAGACAGCCCAACAAGAGTAGCCTATCATCATGCGTGTGGGGCCTAACCAATTCTGAGGAAATCCGCAATCACTCATTTCCCCGAGATATTTGTAAGTTTCTCCGATCGCTACTTCTCAAAGCACCGGAAGTTGAATTACCGGGTGATAATTCTCCAGGTTAGAAACAGCAACCTCTTACATGTGGGAATGAGGAATTCTTGGCTTTCACTTAGAGTGGGGACTTGCGTCCAAGCGCGGCATTGATGAAACTACTGGAACACATGCTGCACATGTTTATGGAAGTTAGTTTTAATGCTTTTGTGAGAACGCCATCTTCACCAGATGGGCTACGTCAGATCAGTAGCCAGCCATTTAAGCACAATCAAGGTCACATATTAGATGTGAACATGTCCTGGAGATGGTGTGACATGTGTGAAAATATTACAAGGTTTAATGCCCTCTGTGGTATAGAAACAGATTTCTGTACATGTACAAAATTTATACCCTAAAAGTTATGGTGTTTGTTGATATGCTCCTGAAGCAGGCCTGGGTTTGACAAAAGTTCACTGGAAGCTCCCTTTGATACCTTGCTTTATCTGCATCGAGAGATTTACATAATGATTTCTTTGAGCGATACAGTTTTCAATTGTCAATACTTTGATATATGTGGTAGGTTTAGAAAAATAAGTAACTCATGGTCATACATTTCTTCGTTTCACTGTTCGCAAAAAAATTTATCACGTTCTAGCATGTGATCTTGACCTACTGGACGGGCTTTGTTTTTCCCCAGTTGACACTGCGATCTCTTTTAGGCGGAAATGGCTAAATGATGTTTCTAATGAAATCCAATTGGGTGTCGTACTATGTGGCAAATTAGTCACTTCAGCGTCCCTTATAAACAACCTGTGCAATAGAATTATGCAAAACGGTAATGCCTTTGTTAACTGCGGCACAAAGGTTAGCCAACCTTTATTTGTCGAACGTAGGTTCTTCGTTGGTGGGTAAGAATCACAGAACCACCCAGCCGTACTCCCTTCGGAATCCCACAGGGGAAGTACGATAATCTTACAGTAGTGAAGTGATGGTTAGACCCTGCAATTTCACTATGCAATATTCATAAACAGAGGCTGAGACTTTAATGGTCTACACGCTAAGTCACAAACCATCAAAACTTGTCTATACAGAAGTGCGTGAATCCTTCACAGCAGTAGGTACACAACAGTCCATTTCTAAACGTGGTAACCAACGCGGAGTAAAAATGAATGGCCATGTATGAGCTGTAGAGTACACTTAGCAAATTAACATTCTGAAACTCAGGACGGTCCATGATAATGAACTGGAGATCATTGTTCCTTTTTAACCAGACCGATATTAACGTAGAAAGGACGTGCCAGTTCTCAGGTACATAAAGGTGGGCCAAATTTCTTAAAACCTACTGTTATCAAAGACTGAGTATTTTACGGATAAGACTTTTGCAATTGAAGTGCAACAGGTTGGCACCTCACAGACTGAAAGCGTTGTGTGAGTCAATACATCGGCTGTGGGTTTATGTTGGCAATATGATCAAGTCAATATAAGTAAACGTATATGGCAGGCGTCTGCTATTGCTACCAGCGCGCATGATCACAACATAATGAACCCATTGGAACGTCCTATTAATAGAAGTACTAAAAGGTGGAGCAATTCGTTCGGCCTGTTTTCGTCAGGTGGCTGGTATTGCTATTAATCAACGCGGTTTAGTAGGGTGATTTGCTTGAGAAGTTTGTACAGTCGAAGTGCTAAATGTATCACAGTCAAAAAACAACGCCTTAGCACTTTCGATGGTAAAAGGTGGAAGCAAAAATGTGTCAGTCTAAAAGTAAGGCGCATCGGTGGACTCATTGCGTAACTTTCACAAGTACACATAGTTTGGTCACCTTAAGCCGTGCGCCGGTACCATCCGTTTAGATTAGGTAACGCAACTTGAGCTTGAATACTATGAATGTGGAGGCAGAGAGGACATCATTCAAATGACACACTATGGGAGATAAGGTTCCGGTGCCGTTCAAGCCGGTTATGCTGCGTGGCCAAATTAAAATGACAGACTCGTCGTTTGGTATTATGCAGAGTTTCAATATATGTTGGTATACGCAGTTGAGACTTCGCATCTAATGAAACCAAACATGATCACCCAGCAGATGACAGCATTGTAATATTGAAAACTCATAGGGCCTTTATTCCAAGTTGCTAAAGGCGATGGAGCAATCTCCCAACACTTTTAGTCCTACTTCGTTTTAGAGCCTCAAGAGCAGCGAGGTTATTTATTTGTTCCAAGAGAGATGGATCTAGATGGGAGATTCCACATGTGACCTCAAGGAAGTCTTAGGTATTTGCTAAAATAAGTTAACAGGAGACCCGTCAGTTGCTCTACCTAAATGCATCAAACGTGTACCAGCTCTGTCAATGCTTTTCCCGGCCTAGAAAAACCAAGGAAATCCTTCACAAGCATCCCAACATAACTGTCATTGAAAACGCACAGCAAAACGTGGTCTTCTGGCAGATATTCTCAAATTCAATGCTAGAGTATGTTCAACGTTCTGCATCTGGTAGCGTTGAAGTGGGGCATGCTTTGAGCTGACCTTTCATAAAACTTGTATAAATCGTCCTGCAATGTCATTTGAGATTTTACTGTCTTGATGGCCCTTCTAATCCTGGCATAATCCGCAAAGCTTATTGTGTTATCTGTCATGGGATCTTTTATGAGCAACCGGAATAGCCGTGTTTCCAATACCGAGCCTTGTCGAGGACCACAAAGCTCTTCTGTCGCATCAGACGAGGCGCTATGAACTCGCATATTCAGGTTGCGTTGGAATAACGATCCACATACCCATAGCATAGCGTTACCGATACCAAGCTGTAAGCCATACAAAAAAGAATGACACGGTTACGGGATTAATGCTTTGAGGAATTAAACTAGGCAAATGCAACTTCTTTCTGAGTATTGATGGGATCATTCCAGTTGACACGGAGTGGCAACATACTACTGGCGCATGAGCAGTGTTGATAGATACTGTCATGCTCCGAAGCGACAATATTACATCTTACCAAATCTATAGAGTGCTTCTGAAATAAGAAATGATACTACTCTAGGAAACACCCTAATAGATGTTACCGGACGGTACTCTTCGGACTCAGCACGATGTCCTCCCCATTATAAATTAGGGTGATGTTTCCTCGCTTCCAAGCGGTTGGCATCTGTATGTCCTCGAAACAAAAACACAACCGTTCAGCCAAACTACTAGCAGCTACGTAGAATGACTTTAGGTGAATGTTGTCCGCATCATTAGGGCCATGTTCATGCGATGACATCATTCACTCCGCCAATTTGCGGCAGTAAAACAGAGGTGAGTAAACCCTGGTGCTGAAGAGGTCTAAGTGAGAATAGTATGAGGTGTTTTAACGTTCTGAACATTAAAAGTGAATATTTGTCTAAGTGCGCTGGCTGTTTCTTGCTCACTTTTCGTCTATTCACACAAGGCGTTTAGAGCAAGGGTGCCCCACTGTACTTTGCCGAGTTGTTGCAATATCTGTAAAGTAGCTTAAGTAGGAGCAGAAATTCTTCGCTTAATCACGTTGGTGTCCAAATGTACTCTTGCCAACCGGTCTAATACAATAATTTCACTCAACTATTTGACTTTCATGATTTCTGTG